GGGGGGGGGGGGGGGGGGGGGGGGGGGAGAGAGAGAGAGAGAGAGAGAGAGAGAGAGCGAGAGAGATTGTGTGTAGGATCCATGCGAGGAAATCTAGCGAGTGTTATTTGCACAGGATCACAGTGGTTAGTGTCCATTCAGATGACAGGTAAAAAAGAGGGGAGACAGTTTGTTGAAACAGTACGCAGCCGTGGCTCAGTCTGGAAGTAGAGGATCTAGAGCGAGCGCGTGCGTGCACCTCGAAGACACAGCTCTGAACAGTCCCAGCATAAGAGCGGTACGTATAAAAAGCCTGGGGAGTGTCACGTTGCCCCAGAAATTCACAGTGCCAGAGCGAGGGGGAAGATGGGAAACGGCAGGCAGCTTCCTGGATCCACATCTCAGACTCCTGCTGCCTGCAACCCTCTGCATCTCCCACCTCACAGGGATCTAAACATGGCACTCTCTCAGCGTGTGTTACCCTTGTTTCCGAGTAAGGAGAATTCACAGTGTTCAGGAGTGATCAGGTACAAAAGCCGTTTAGTCTACAGTATCCTAGTGCTGCTGCTGCTGCCTCTGATGGAGTAGTGCCTAGAGGTGGGACTCAGTGCCAGCAGCTGGAAGGAGGGAGTTTAGAACAGCAGACAGATCAGATCGCAAAGGCACGGTTAGACTAGGTGGACACAGGGTTGTGTGCGCATGTGTGTGTGTGATTTAGAAGATAGTGGTCTCATACTTAGTGCTGAGGGTCCTCTTGGATTCCTGTTTGGGGTCCACAACCCAGGAAACACTGGCATGAGACTGGGAGTCTTGATCCACTTCAGATGGCTCCAGCTGGAAAACATTGGGGGCGAGGGGGAGAGAGAGGTGGTCAGAATCTGCTCATGTGAAGAGGCCAGGGTTGAGACAGAAAGCACTTGGCAGTGATGGGAAGGGAGACCTCAAAGCTATCTACAGGGCCATACTAAACAGCATGTGTGTTGAAAAGGGGAGCAGCTCTCATGGGGCAAGAGCCCCAGTTGGATTTAGCCATGATTTCTGCCTACACATCAAGGAAATGTTTGAAAAACTGGCCACGAGTACTGATCCTGAGCTCAGACCTCTCTCCGTGGCATCTATATCCACATTCTGGACTGGGACAGCTTGCCTAATCTCACAGATAAACAGCAGCATCCCTGAAGATCCTCCAGCTCTTTGCAAAAGACAACTATCTGACCTACTCTCCTGGACAAACAGCCCTACCCTGGCCCTCCTGACCTTGACCTAAAAGGCTCTGACGCTGGCGGGATCAGAAGTGCGCTGGCGGGGTGCAAAGGGAAGTGACAGCTCTTGGCACCGGTGAAGATGAACATGACATCACAGCTTGTTCTTGGGGGTCCTCTGTCCCCATATGAGAGGGGTGGCAGTGCAGGCAAGGAGGGAGCACACACAGCAGCAAAGCAAAAGACGGGACTGAAGCAGAGGGGAGGGACAGCAGGAAAGAGGCTTTCAAGCAGAGCTGAGCTGCCTGCCTGAAGCTAAGGAAGCCCAGGTTTGTTCATAATGAAACAAGACAGCAAGAAGGGTAAAGACCTTAGCTCCTTGACTAACAGACTGCAGCGGCAGATAGGAGGGACGATGCGTAGTACAGGTGTGACAGTAACAACAGCGACTATCGGGAGGGAGCGTCACCTGGGCAGTGGGAGCAAGCACAACACAGAGACAAAAGGAGACATTAAAGGCAAGCAACAACCGCACACAATACCGGGTTTTTAGCACGGTCCAGCCCAGCTGCGTCTTCTGCTGCAGGTTACAAGTTCTGGACCAGTCCTATCCTCAGCTCCGTCTGGGTCTTGGACATGGAAGTTGTGCTGGAACCCAGGGGCCCGGTATGTGTCCAATTCCCCTTCTCTGCACTCCTAGAGCTGCCCTCAGTGCTAGCCATGAGCTGTTCCACCTGAAGGCACTCTGGGAACCGCAAGGAGCCAGCAGCTGGGGAGCCTCTATCAGCACTGTGCACAACTGGACAATCACGGAGCTGCTGCCAACTGGCACCTCGTCTATACTAGGGCCCCCTCCACCTCAGGAATGGAGACAGGGACGTCTCCATGGACAGTAGCAGGGGCAGGGGAGGGCATTACCCCCACTGCCTGAGCTGGCACCATGCAAAACGCAATTCAGAGGCTCTGACTTGGGCCCTGTGGCCCCTCGCATACGTACTGCGGATTTCCTCATGCCGACGCGAGGCTTAGGCACCGGTTTGGAAGATTTCGTTTCGATCACTTCTCCTGCTGAAGCACCCAGAGGTTTTGCTTTTTGGGCTTGCAGGGCCAGCTGATATGCGACTTCAAAGGCCTGCCCCAGCGTCAGGATGATTTCGTACGTCAGGTTCTTTGGAGAGACCACACAGACCAGAGTGATTTCACTCCCTCCCCAGGGAAGCTGGACAAATTCAGGCACTTGTGGCAATTGGAAAACTTCCCTTGGTGACTGGGCTCCCAGGCAGGGCCCAAGGACAGCTCCATCCCTAGAAGTTCAGCAGCCAGAGCTGCCCTTGGACTTCACTAGTGGACTCCTGCATCTTTGGCAGCAGCTCTTTGCTGACAGCCCTGTGGCTGCCAGGTATGTTTCCAAGCCTTGTGTTATCTGTTGCAGCAGCTGGGCAGCACAAAGGGGCTGCAGAGCTGGCAATGAACAAGCTGACTAGGGCAGTCCCCAAGACCACGACTGGACAGTCTTGGAGGAAAGGGAAATCAGTAGCTATTGAGTGTAGGAGTGAGGGACAGCCTCTGAATCAGAACTTCCTAGCTCTCAAGGGCTGGAGGCTGCAAGTGAGAGAGGAACAGAGGGAAAAACCCTGGTCATACCCAGCTCATTCTCCCTTTCAGCATCCACTCTCTGCCACTGTGCGACATGGGAGACTGGGCAAGGTGGACCTATGGTCTGACCCAATAAATGGCAGGTTTTGCACATTTTTATCATAGAATCAGAGAGTGGCTGGGCTGGAAGGGACCTCCAGAGATCATCTAGTCCAACCCTCTGCCCCGAGGCAGGATCATTCCTATCCAAGCCATCATATACAAATCTGTAATCTAACCTCTTTGCAAAACTACTGCCAGCCCTGATGCAGCCCAAGACATCACACCCAAACCTGTCACAGGTAAAGTAGCAGAACCACAGCAGCCAACATCTTGCTTCGTTAATACATGCTCAAAGGATTCCAGGCAGAGGCTATACCCCCTGCTACAGAGGAGGAGAAAATCCCCCACGGTCCGTGCCAATCTGACCGTGACCGTCTCTTCTGTATTTCAGTTTAGCAATACTCCTATTCAAGGAGAAACAGGCTCAGGCAGCTCGCACAGCCCGGCCACCTCCACAGCAGATAGGCTATGCTTCTGCATGCTCTGCCCTGCTCCATGCATTAACAAGGCTGGTAAATCAGCCTGTTGCACTGCATGCAATTAAGATCATCCAGGGGTTCTGCTCACAGCACGTTCCTTGGGGGGCAGAAGTCCCTGCTCTACAGACCTCAGTAACAACAGCCAGACCCACAACCTCCTAGCTGACAGAGCCAGACGGGGAAAGGGTTCCCGACTGGGGACTCTGAAGGGGCCTATACTGGAGCAGTCACAGGCACAGCAGCACTGGATGAAACGTGCGTTGTTTTATGATTTGCAGCTACAGCCAGGCAATAAAACAATGAAATTACAGACTTAACGAGCCTGAAAGGCGCCAAGGTTACTCCAAATTAAAAACAACCCACAAATGACTTCCGATTATGCAGAACAAATACGGGCTCTCAAACAGACATTCCTCAGTTATTGGCCTGGGGAGATGCTCAGGCCGGAGTCTAAGCAAAGGGTCTGTTTGCTGCACAGACACACTAACGCCACCTACAAACTGCTCGGGCCAGCCCACTGGTGAACAACCAGCACTGCTCACGCTCCGTCTGGGTGAGCCAGGGGGGTTTTCCAACGTTATGGGACACAGCACCATAATATGCAGACAGCCAGAGACAGCTAATGGGAACGTAACAGCCTTTTGCTAGTGTCTGTCTGCCTGTGTGTTCCCCACTCTGCAAACACCTATTAATGGAGTGTCACCACAGGATATGAAGGAACCGCATGTGCTGGGCAAGCTGAATTAGCTGTCTGGGACTGGCGGGAGGCTGAGGGAAAGAGCACACAAAGCCACTGTCAGTCTCCACGGCAGCCAAATCAAGGCCTGTGATGAAACAAGTTGGCTGGGCCAGTGAGAGGCAGACACACCTGGGTCTGTCAACAGGCTTTAGGCCACTATGACTTTCCCAGTGAGGTGAGCAATTATTCTACTGATGTAGCTGCAGGAGGACGACCTGCCCTGCAGCTGCGGATGCAGGACACTCACAGCGCTCAAGTGCCTGTTTTAGTGCTCTAGAAAGTGAGGGGACAAACGCACAGAGCTGAAGTGCTACAACCCAGCCTGAGCCAGGACAGAAACAGCCCTGGATGTAGCAGGAACAATTGCCAGGTGCTTCATGCCACACCTGTGCCCTCCAGCCATCCCAATGGTCTGAAGGGGATTTTTGAACACACTGGTGAAAAGGTGCTTACACTGGACAGTTCTATCCATGCAAGAAGGGGAACTGCCAGGGCATGGTACTTCCCTACTGGTATAACTGCATCCCCCACAACTGCACTGCAATAGCTCTACCAGCAGAACCAAGCAGCACCATTCACGTGCACAGACAAGGCCGAGGAAGTCAAAGAAACCCTTGGAGGAAGCAATCCTATCCCTGCCTTAGAGAAAGAATGGCAGGAGCCAAAAGGCTTTCCCCCTCTTGTTGGAGAGTCTTAGGTGCACACGGACTATGTGACAACTGCTGGCAGGGGCAACTCTGCCTTGAGCATACTTGGATCCGGCCTCCCTGGATTCAAAAATGCCCATGCTGTAGCATCTGTTCAGCCCTCCCTCTGCACAAATGGCACTGGCCCACACTAGGGCCTGCTGCCACGTCTTGAGAAATCTGCCCCATGCAGTGAGCTGCCACGTGCTCTCTCCTCAAGACCCACTCTGCAGCACTGCCACCCACAGATGGCACACAGCTTGCTGGGGTGCAAGGCGTTCCACACGCATACAGACGTGCCACTCACCACATCCACAGTGCTGAAGACATGGCAGTAGTGGTGGCTGGTCTGCAGGTCCTTGGTGATGTAGGCGAATGTACAGAGGTCCTCGGGGTCCTGGGCAGCACAGGAGATGTTCCGGATTTCGTGCTCAGCAATAACGTTCTGCCAAAGTTAAAACACAGGCAACCAGCTGGGCAGGTGCTTTGGGCAGCCGGATAGTCCCGTGTAGCATGTCTCGTAGGGGGACAACAGCCACAGTTACCAAACTCAGAAAAGCATCCACCGGTTCAGGACAGGGATGCGACAAGGAGCCGAGATCCCTGTGACAAGGAGCCGAAAAGGCACTAGATCCCTGGTGTCCCTCTAAGCCATCTTGGAGGATGTGGGAATGTTACTCCACTTCCCTTTGTTCTACTGGAAATAAGCCAGACAGAACAGCTCATGCTTCCCGTCTCAGCACAGCCACATCACCTGGGGCCATTTTTAAATGAACTCAGGCTTTCACCGTGTGTTAATCTTCTGGTGAGGCTGAAGACAACTGACAAACAGCCACCTCGTGTGCGTGTTGTACACAAAGGACAAGCAAACAGAAGGGAGATGCCCACAGGAAGGGAGCTCCTAGCTCCCCCCAGTTCTCATCCCATCTAAAAGGATTCACAGGAAGGAATCCAAGATGGTCTTGTCCGTGGAGGAGTGCCTCACGCCAAGCCCCGACAGGCACAGGACAGGAGGATGTGCCATTTCAATGTCCGCATCCTAGAAACCAGTGCTAAGCCCCACACGGTGTCTGAGGACCCACAGCTCAGCGTGAAGAGCCAATAGTTTCACCTCAAGCAGCTGCAGAGTTGGTCACCAGGGAGCACAACATCCGCTGCTGTTGCTGCGCTTTGGCGCGCCTCACATCAGCTTGTTACCGAACAAGGCATAAGCGCTGTCAAAATCGCCCCTGCGACCAGCTGGGGGTTACCCACCGGGAAATCAAGGCAGAGACTAATAGATAGGTCAAGTGGCAGAGCATGCCAGGGGGGCAGAAGGAGCAGAGTTCAGTCCGACTCCAACCCCGACTCAGGTCACCAGGTAACAGAGCCACAGCCAAAAAACACTGTCTTGGAGCAGGTGGCACAGCTGGGTTCTAGTTCCTTCCTGACTAGCAGCAAAGTTCCCACACTTGGGGCAGCTCCTGATGCAAGCTACTCCCTCTCTCACAGCTAGGTAGCTCCACAGGGCTAGATACGGAGTGCCCACATTTGTGTCTACCTCATCGGCACACGGGGCTGCGAGCCACAGTGGCAGGCGAGTGAGAAGGGACCCTGCTATAACAAGTTGCCCTAAGCAAGTGGCACATACAATCCCTCTCAACACAAAGATCAGGCCATCCTCTTACCTTGTTAGAAGCATCAATGAACTTCACCCCTTTGTAAGTGATGGATAATATTATGGTTGGGATCTTCTTCATGTGCTCCGTCGATTTCTTTAGGAACAAGAACGCACTGGTTAAGGGGCACAACATAGCCACCTCTCACCTTCCTGCCAGTTCTGCTCCCTCATACACCTACCCTCATCTTGGCACAGGCATCCTGTGTAGACTCTGTCCCACGAAGGTCTTTGATCAACATGGAGCCCAAATACTGTTTGAAATGGGGAGAAGGCATGGCATCGTTTTTATTTTGAAGGCCGTGGCCCCATCAACAGCTTCCCCTGCCCTGGTACAACATACAGACCACAACCATGACCACTGGGAGGCAGACAGTCCAGGGTGCTGCCTTCACATTCCCCAGCAACGATCTGGCTGTAGTCACCTGCTCTTAGTTCGGGTAACTCATCCAGACTGTTCCTAGAGCCCGCTGCTCCTACAGGCACTGGCTGCCACCAAGGCCTCCAAGAGGCCAGATATGGACTTGGCCCCAGCACATCTGGCCCCAGGATGGAAACCAGCAATTGATTCAGGCTCTGTCTGGTCAGTAGTGATGGCTGAGGGTGCCCAGGTGTGCAGGACTGCAGACGGGGCAAGCTCACCCACATGCTTCAGAGCAACCCCCTCCCACGCGCCCCTTGAGCGACAGGAACCCACTTACATTGGCCTCGTACCCGCAGGACTCGAAGATGAGCTTCTCGGGCTGGTGCTGCCAATTCTGGACGGGAGCATAGGGTGCTGCTAGGCTGGGGGGGCGAAGAGTCAGCTTTGGCTCACGACGCTCCTCCTGAGGATGGCAAGGGCACGTGTGAAAGCCATGCCGAGCATCTCACTCACTCATGAGGCAAAGCCTAGATCCCTGGGGTAGTGTCTGGCCTTAGACCAGTTCATTTTACCAAGCACCAGGTCCAGACTCCTCAATTCAGGGGCTGAGGAGGGAGGAAGGGGCCCTGCCCCCCTTGGTCTGACTCTCAGTGCCAGCCACTGGGCAGGAGCCTGAATCAGCTGTGCTAAGGGAGAAGGCTGTTGGGTTCACTGCTTCCAGCCAGGGCAGGAATAGCACCCAACTGACCTGCCCTATCCTAGGAAACAGAATGGAAGGGCCTGCTGGAGTGTAGCCAGGCTATGCTGCTGCCTCCTTGCACACTGAAGACCCTTCAGCTGTGACAGCAAGGGCTACTCGCTCTAACCTGTGCTTTGTATCTGTCAGCTCTGGGATAAGAGGCGACTTCATGGCCACTGTCATGTCGCCTCTTCCCAGGGTCTCCAGAAGGCAGCAAGAGATCTGCAGACCTGCCCGTGCACGAGTCGTTCTGGCTCAGGGGCGACGATGTCTGGGACATCAGATCCTGGCACTGGAAACAGAGGCAGAGACACGGACCTAAACACAACTGGCCACGGCAGCCAGGCTTCACAGTCCCTGCCTGCAGGCTATTAGAGCCACTGCACTCCCTCCCCCACCTTCTCATGACCTGTGTCTTCACGGGGACCTAGCCCACGAGTTGCAGCTGGGAGCACTGTCAGTGTGACTCACTTCCCTTGTGAGGCCACCTGTGCTGCGGGAGAGGGAAAGCAAGATAAACAGAGTTACAGCCAGGTCTTGCCTGCAGAAGCCGCTATCGTGATGTGCAGACTGTGCCCCAAAGGCCATGAAAATCCTGTAGGCCAGATTCACGCCACCTCCCAGGTACTCCAAGGGCGTATTGTGGGAACAGGGAGTTCACTGATGTCAATGACCAAATTGCTGGAGAGGTTGTTAACTCAGCTCTTAATCCAGGGCACTTCCTCAGCCGCCACTATGTTGAATCTAAGACAGTGTCTGTCTGAAGGGGAGCTGGATCCTGGCAGCTGTCCAGGGTGCTGTGCAGAGCCCCAGCTGGGGTGGGCTGGGCAGGGGGAAAAGGGCAGAGAAGCCTCCGCAATTCAGGAAGGCAGAGCTCGAGATTCAGCTGGGATAGGGCAGTTCTCTCCTAGGGAGATACTGAAGGCCAAGGGCTGCACCACTCACGTGAAGGGACTCAGTGGGGCCAGCAACAGCACCCAGGATGTCTGGCCTGGTCTGCTCATCCCTAAGGAACCAAGTCACACGGCAGTCCCCCTCCCCAGCCCACGACTCCAGGATTCCTCGGCACCTGCCCGGGGTCATTCCTGTGCAAGCAGCCACCTTTAATCTGCTGATGCACACTAGAGGGCACAAAGACCCAAGCTTCCGGCCAGGAGGGTTGAACAGGACTCAACGGCAAGCCAAGTCCTCTTGACACAGCTCTAACAGCATCGCTCATCCCCCAGTGCGATCAGAGCCTTACAAAGGCTGGTTGTACTGGGAGGGGAAAGAGTCCCTCCCTGGGACGTGCAGATCCGGGGCCAGGGAACCCAAGCTGGTACATTTGCGAGCTCGCAGCTGTGATACGCATTAACTCTATTCAAGGCACTTGCTTAATTTCCCATTGACATCCTTCCGCTCCATCATGCCAGAGTCTGGCACACGACAGCTGTAGCATCAGGAAATGCTGCAAATGGCCTATTCTCTTTCCCTGCCTCCCTACCCAGCATTTCAATCAGTTGATCCGGAGCCAAAGAGCTTTTTCTATTCATTCAGTCCCATCAGTCTCAAGAAGATGTTTTAGAAATTCCTGGATCCTCAGCTGGTTGCCTCCCAGCTGGGCATCTGCTCTCTACCAGGTCAGTGATTCCCCAGTAGGGAGAGGGTGGCATATGCAGACAGGGGACCTCAAGCCACTGGGCATCCACAAAGCGAGCACAGGTTGGACTGGCAGCACAGAGCGCTCACGTCCATTCCCAGCCACTGCAGTACCAGGGGGAGGTGGGGAAAACCAATGGGGGCACTGAGGGAAGATCAGTCTCATGTTTGGTTCTTGGCCTTCAAGCACTGATGAAAGAGCTCATCAGGGCTGACGCTGACCACAGGTTTTGCGCAATGGATTCTGCCCACTCGGAGCTGAGCAGAGCATACAGATGAGCATAACACCTGCATCAACATCAGATACCAATACAAGCTGTCTGTCGCATCCCCGTACTCCTGATGCAACACAAGCACAGCAAAAGCACTGCAGCTGACACAGGGTGGCTCTGGGCCTAAGAATTCCAGCTCCTTTGTGAATTCATTTATTAAGGACATCAGCCTCACAAGTGCATCTCAGGCCTCTCCTGCAGCTGCTGAGAGGCAAGAGAGGGGCCCAGTTTGCTACTCAAACAGGCACATCAGTTTTAGAGCTGGACACCCTCATGCCTTTACGGGCCCCTTGAGTCTGCGAGTTGGCCATGTTCAAACAGACCAGAGAAAATAATTGCCTTCTCTTGCAGGGGAGCAGGGACCCAGTGATAACCCAGGGGGCTGTCCCCCATTTACCAGGGACTAACCTAACATGGGGATTTGTGATGCTGCCTGTCATAACTAGAGCTCCTGGCTGAACTCCACTGACTTATTCCCTGTGCTTGTATGTCTCCACCCCTTAAAAAGCAGCCAGGTTCGAAGCCATAACCTTGCTGAACACCTGTGTTTGGTCTGGGACTTGCATCTGAGCACAACGTGCGGTCCAGGTATTACTTGGAGTCAACAGCGACACACACATCTCCGAGGTCCCCAGCTAATCAAGACTGATTGGGTCAGCCACCTGGCAGAGGCCCTGAATCTCATTAAAAAGGTGCC